CGAGCAGCGTGGCCTGTGTTGAGCAAGGAGCAGGTTTTAAGGAACTTCAGGTCCCCTGCTGCCCAGGCAGGAAGCCTCACGCAGCGTGGGGCAGGAAGGAGAACAAGAAAGCTGCCCCCTGAGATGTTCCTGTCCCCACGCCTGGCTCAGCTGTGCTGCTTCCCCAGGAGGTGCCTTGCTCCTGCCCTGCAGGACTATTTTCTGGCTTCTGAGCCATTTGCTGTCAGACAAGTGAGAACTGGAGGAGCTTGCAGTACTGCAGACCTGCCGACACCCCAGCTCCTGCAGCACAAAGAGCTGGTGAGGCTCCTTTGCTGAGGAGCTGCAGATCTCACCCTGTTAAGAGGAACCTTGTTATCTCTTCTCATGCTTCACCCAGGCTGCAGCCATGGTCGCTGAGCAGAGCTGACTTCAGGTACAGGAAAGCTCCTGCTGCCTTCAAGTGCCAGGTGGAGCTTCATGTGGTGCTGCTGCCTTTAGAGCCCTTGGCCGTGCTCTTCAGTGCCCCTCCAGCTGCTGAGGGGCCACGGGGAGATGAGACTTCCCTTGGGAGGGAGCTGCCCTGTGAGCTGCTGCTTCAGATCAGTGCATCCCCTTCCTGTGCCAGGAGTGCTGGCTGCAGTCGGGGCTTTGGTTGCTGCAGTGAATGCAAAACCTGTGTAAGCAGTGGGATGAGCAGCGTGGCTGTGATGAGAGCCCTTCTGGGAGTGCTGGTGGCTCTCTGGCAGAGCTGGGCAGCAGTGCCTGTTGGTGTCTGCAGTGGTGCTGCTGTCAGGGTGTGCTGCCCTGGGCAGGCAGCTGGGGTGGCCTGTGGAGCACCTGCTTTTGGGGTGTCTGCCCCAGACCCGCCGGGCGATGCCCAGCTCTGCACAGGGTGAGGGGGTTGCTCTCAGGCTGCCTGGAGGACCTGCCACTAACGGAGCCCGTTGCCTCTCTGCTTTGCCCTTAGGTCCCCTGAGTGAGAGAAGATGGGGTCTGGCTGCCTGAAAGTCACCAAGTACTTCCTCTTCCTCTTCAACCTCCTCTTCCTCGTGAGTATCGTGGGCAAGTGCAGAGCCCAGTGGGAAGGCCTGGGCTGAGATGAGTGGGAAGGGTGTTTTGTCTGGATGCTGGCCCAGTGTGCTCATGAAATCAGCAGGGCAGAGTTGTGGAAGGAGGGAGGGAGTCCCTGGAGCTGCTGTGTGGAGCAGCTCTGTCCCCAGCCCCCCGTGCTGTCCCCAGCTCCCACAGCCCCCTCCCTGCAGGGGGGGACAGGAGGCACGGGGCAGTTCTGCAGGGACAGGACATGTCACTGCTTCCTCTGCACCCTGGAGCAGCAGCCAGGCTGCAGAGCCTGCCCAGTCGTGGCAGCACACCCCAAAACAGGCCAGGCAGGCTTCAAACAACAACCCCAATTTTGTTCCAGTCCCAACAGCCGCTCCTGAGTTTTTTACCAGGACAAATCAGTCCAAGTGCCCCTGTTGAAATGGAGGTGGGGGAGACTTGCCTGGGGAGAGGAGGCAGCCCACTGGATGCAGCTCTTTTCGAGCAGGAGGCTCAAGAAAAGATGAGCTCCTTTTTTTTTGGATATGTCTTTTGGATATGGAGTTTTCTTGGATCTGGTGTGTGGTGCTTGGCTGAGGCAGCACTGGAGTCCTGCTGCATGGAGCCTGGTACCTGGGCACTCTCTGCTCTTCCTTCATCCCGAGCTGAGGGCCCAGCTCAGTAGGTGAGCTCTGTATAGAGAAGGTTCTCCTGAAGAGAGCCAGCCTAGCCTGGGGCAGAGGGGACAGCAGGCAGCCTGGAGCACTGCAGTGCCTTGCAGCACTTGGCTGGGTGCCACCAAGGGGGGCTGTGGCATCTCTGTTCCCACCAGCTCCTCTGGGGTGCCAGCCAGCCCCACTCCCTTCCAGGAGATGTGGGGAGGTCAGACCAAAGGGAGAAGCTGCTTTAGGGAGCCCTGTGCAGCACAAAGGGCACCTTCCCCTCTGAAGCCCCTCTGTGCTGCTGGGGAGCTTGATCCTTCTCTAGGGTGAAGGTGTGGAGCAGTGGCAGGCTCTGCACGTGCCCCATGTGAGGAAGGGGTGTCCATGACCCTCCCTGCCAGGGGCAGTCCTTGGTGTGAGCTTTTTCTGTTAGGGCTGTTGGGGGTCTGACTGGAGGTGGAGGGTTCTTCAGCTAGTACAACGTGGTAGAACAGAGCCTGACTTCAGGGTAGGGTTTGACCTGCCTGGATTAAAAGGAAGAAGGTTATTTGGGCTGCTTGCCTCAGAAGATACCAAAACCATAAGCTTGGGGTATGAGCTTAGCTTCTTTAACAAAAACTTAACACACCTCTAGCTTCTTGGCTTGAAGAGAGCAGCCACAGCAGATGCTTCCCCTTAAAGGGTGACTGGTTCTGTGAGACAAGTTGAACAGTCTCTGGAGACTGTTTGCTTAGAGTATCTAGGTGTCTGTCCTGCTCTAACCCCTCTGTCCACAGAGCAGAAGGCCAGCACTGAAAACAGAGCCTGGTGGTTAACAAAAGCCTTTCTGTTGGCCCTGGAGCCAGGTTCCACGTTCCTCACACCAGCTGAGTGGGAAGGAGGGCAGGGGTGGGGGAGGACAGCCAGGGACCTCCAGCTGAGCTTTCCAGAATCATAGCACCACAGGATCATTTGGGATGGAAAAGACCTCTAAGATCAAGTCCAGCCATCACCCAGCACTCCCATGACCACTAATCCTTCTCCTGTACTAACAGCATCACTCCAGGGATGGGGACCCCAGCCCCTCCCTGGGCAGCCTGTTCCAGTGCCTCACCACTCTGGCAGTGAAGAAATTCTTCCAAACTGTGAATTCTTCCAGAGAATGAGTCAGCTCCACCACAGCTCAGTTTTTCCATGCCCCTCTTCAGTGGGTGCTGCTGGGGGAACCTGCTGGCCCTGCCTGGAGGGACCTGCACCCTTCTGGTGGGGAAGGGGTCTTGCTGGAATGGAGGGGGAGATATCCACCCCCAGGGTGCAGGGGAGACATCTGTCCCCCTCTTCAGGGGCTCAAAGCAGGGGGCAGAGGAGTTAAACTCTATGGAAGGCAGACGTGAGGCTGAGGGCGTTGGGGTTGTTCAGCCTGGAGAGGAGAAGGCTCCAGGGAGAACTTTTTGCAGCCTTTCAGTACTTCAAGGGGCCTGTCAAAGCTGGGGACAGGCTTTTGAGCAGGGCCTGTTATGTCAGGACCAGAGGTGCTGGTTTTAAACTAAAAGAGGGAGATTTCTCAGACTAGAGAGAAGGAAGAAATTGTTGACACCGAAGGTGTTGAGCCCCTGGCCCAGGCTGCCCAGAGAGGTGGTCGCTGCCCCATCCCTGGCACCATCCCAGGGGAGGTTGGACACAACTCTGAGCACCCTGCTCTAGCTGCAGATGTCCCTGTCCCTGCAGGGGGTTGGACTGGGTGACCTTGAAAGGTCCCTTCCCACCCAAACCATTCCATGATAAGTATCCTCACTATGCTCTGCAAACTCCTGAAGATGCTGAGCAGAGTTCCTGTCCTCCTAGGAGGTAAATATGCTGTATTAGGAGTAGTTTATTTTCTCCCTGCCTTTCCCTTTTAGTGTTTTCCACAGCAGCTCCTGGCAAACACACGAGCTGTGGACTAGAGCAAAGATCAGAGTAAAAACAGTCCTTGGACAGTCCGAGCACCTCATACCCAGTCACTTCCCCCAGGCAGCCCAGCAGCACTCCTGGCTTTTGTCAGCAACAGCAAAAGTGAGGTGACATCCCAGGGTCAGCGAGCCAAGGCAGATGTCACGTGCAGCCCGGGCTGCACCCTTGCTCAGACAGACCTTTTGTGCAGTCTCTAGCTGACATGTGAGGTGTGGAAGGGTAAGATCAGCAGCTCTTGGCAACAGCAGGTTTGGGAGGAGCTTTGTGGGTGCTGCAGCTGCTGTGTTCAAGGGGCCTTTCTGGGTCCCTCAGCAGCTGGAGTGCTGCTGTGCAGCCTGTCGGGCAAGGGGGGTTCTGCCTACTGCCTTTTTTGCCTTTTTTTTGCCTTTTTTTTCTGGCATACAGCAGCTCCCTGCTTTCTGCAGCCAAGGCACTCTTCATCCATCTTCAGAGGTGGGAGCTTGCTTGGTGGCTTTCTAATCCAGAAGAAACACAGAGCTAAGTGCACGTCGTGCCCTCTGCCAAGCCAGCAGTGTGCTCAAGCTGCTTCTTTCAGACTGCTGCTTTATCTGTGCTCAGAAAAGCTGCTGTGTATGAGAAACACAGGGTCAACCTTCCAGCTGTGGAGCCTGTCCATACAACCTTCTCTGCCCCCCTGCTTCAGGTGGTGCTTTGGCTCTTCCCTTCATCAGAGCATTCTCTGGTGAAGCCCAGATCTTTAATCTCTCTTCAGCTCTGTCAGTTTATTTAGCATTTCCCTTCCTCCTGTCTCAAAACCCTGCTGGTGTAAGAACTGCTGCTTGTCGTGCATGTCCTCTGGAAGCATCTCCTTCTCTTGTTTCTTTAAGGTCTGGTTTAGGTCTTTGCACAACAAGTTATTGCCAACCTTTGCTGCTTCCAGCTGACTGAAGAGCACAAGTTCCAGCTTCTCACCAAACCTGCAGACTTAACAGCTTCTCCACATCATTATTTTGGGTGTTGAAGGTGCTTCCATCCTATTTAGGGAACTGGAGTTATCCACCTCAGAGCAGAGTATGAAACCTGCTGATACTCAGAAGCTAAAACAGAGCATGTTTGGGGTTTCATTTCTGCCTTTTCCCCCCCTTCCTTCAAAATGAGATGGGAAAAGCTCCTCTTGCTCCTCAGTTCCCTGTCTGGATTCAGCCAAGCCCTCCCAGGGCTGTGTTGCTCCAGTAATCCTTGCCCCAGATAAGAGCCCGTGGTGAGCCAGGCAGAGCCCCTGGCTGATGTTTTGTAACACTTGGCTCTGTGGTGGTGCCAGACGTGCCACGGGGCTGGGGTGTTCTGGCCAAGTGGGGGTGGCCAAGCCAGAGTGCTGAAGCTTGGCCCTGGAAGGGGCACAGCCCTTCACTCGGGGGAGCCTGCAGGCAGAGTGCTGCTGCTTTCTGTGTTTGTGGGTTGAAGCCATGACATTATAACAGAGCCTGACAAGCCAAAGATTTCCTTCCTGGGAAGGTTCCAGCTGCCCAGTATCTAATCCTTCAGCAGCTGCCTCCCTGCTCCCACAGGGTCAGGGATTTTTCTATCTAAAAAAGTCTTTAAAATCTTGGGCTGGATGTTTGTCCTTCCTCAGTTCTTCCCAGAAGCAGAGCTCCTACATTTTCCCCAGACAACACAGTTCCAGCAGCAGGGTGCCTCTTCCTCAGGCTGTTTTGACCAGTCCTGCTGTACTGAAGTGGTGTGTGGAGGAGTGCCAGGCAGAGCCTGGGGCTCCTGTGCAGCTGGCCCAGGACCTGTTCCTGTTTACCCTGGGAGGGGTACCGTGGGGGACCTGGGTGGGAACAGCAGAAGAATGGCTGGGTTTACTCTGGGAGCAGGGAGGGTGGTGCCTGCTGCCTCTTATCTGTCTCAGCCAGTGAGCCAGCTCTGTGTTTTTCCTCCTCTCAGCTCCTGGGCGCCGTGATCCTGGGCTTTGGAATATGGATCCTGGCCGACAAGACCAGCTTCATCGCCGTGCTGCGTAAGGCCCTGCTCCTTCCTCCCCTGGCTCCTTCCTCCCCTGGCTCCTTCCCCCTGGCTCCAGCCTGGGGCTGGCAGCACTGTGCCACACGGTGTGCCCTGAGCCCTGGCGTGGTGGGCAGGAGGTGGCACCAGGGGCAGCTCTGGGGACACCGCGTTCCTCCCGGGCTCGCGGGTTGCAGCAGCAGGTCAGGCTGAGGGAGACCATTGTGTCTTCACCCAGCAACCCAAGTGCCTCCTCTGGGCCACGGGGACAAGTGCTGCACCCTGGTGTCACTACGTGCCCCGTGTTTCCACAACAGCTTCCTTGCTGCCAGCGTGTCAGAAGGTCCCTGGTGCCTCAGTGCAGTTTTCCTGGGCGAGTCCCCTCTGCTCCCACTGCTCTCTGTAACCATCTGTTTCAGCCTGACTCTTTTCCATGCCCAAGAAATCAGTCCCTGGTTATATCCATCCTTTGTGCACCTTGAAATTAGCCAGTCTGTTTGTTCTAAGCAGTAGAGGTTGTAGAGGTTGCAGTTTTCCTGGGCGAGTCCCCTCTGCTCCCACTGCTCTCTGTAACCATCTGTTTCAACCTGACTCTTTTCCATGCCCAAGAAAGTCAGTCCCTGGTTATACCCATCCTTTGTGCACCTAGAAATTAGCCAGTCTGCTTGTTCTAAGCAGTAGAGGTTGTAGAGACTGTGAAGCCTTTAGTGCTCTGACTTCTAAAACACATTTGGTTCTACACCCTTGACAAGACAGCCTGGCCCTCAGAGGAGGTTTGTGTTGCTGCACGTGCCAGGGGCTGGCTTCCTTCTCCCTGAAGTCAGCCAAAAGCCTTGACCAAGAGGTGCTGGTTTGAAACTAAAAGAGGGGACTTAGACTAGAGAGAAAGGAGAAGTTTTTGGCACTGAGGGTGGTGAGCCCCTGGCCCAGGTTGCCCACCCCTGGCACCATCCCAGGTGAGGTTGGCCAGGGCTCTGAGCACCCTGCTCTAGCTGCAGATGTCCCTGTCCCTGCAGGGGGGTGGACTGGGTGACTTTTGAAGACCCCTTCCCACCCAAACCATTCTGTGATTCTCTGTCCCCAACCACAGCCCCTCAATGTTCTTCTTGTGATGAGGGGCCCAAAACCGACCCCAGGATTTGAGGTGCAGCCTCCCCAGTGCCCAGTCCCAGGGATGCTCCCTGCCCGGCTCCTGCTGGCCACTCTGGTGCTGATCCAAGCCATGATGCTGGTGGCCTTCTTGGTCCCTTCTGCTGAGCACTTTCCAGCCCCTCTGCCCAGCCTGGAGCACTGCAGGGCGTTGTTGTGACCCAAGGGCAGGACCTGGCCCTTGGCCTTGTTGAACTTCATCCCATTGGGCTCAGCCCATCGGCCCAGCCTGGCCAGATCCCTCTGCAGAGCCTCCCTGCCTTCAAGGAGATCAACACTCCCACCCAGCTGGTTATCTGCAGAGTTCATAGCCCTCTTCTCAAACACCCAGCTCCTGCAAAGAGCCCTCTGCAAGCCCTGCAGAACGCTCTGCCCTGGCTTTGGAAGCTGCTGGGTGGAGACAAAGCTCATGCCCTCCACACAGCCACTGCCTGTTGTGCAGATAGAGCTGCCCTGGCATGAGCAAAAGCACACTTGTACTGCAGGCAGCCAAAAAGGGGCTTATCAGGAGCTGGCTCTGCAGGGGGAGGCACACGTGGTGCCAGCGGGTTCCTGCCAGCCGAGGAGGTCCCTGAGCTTGGCTCTGCTTCTTCCCATTTCACCCAGAATCTCTGCTAACAGAGCACTTAAGGACTTTAGCTTCCTTCCTGGCCATTTCCAGCACCAGCCCTGGGTCCCTGCCCCCTCGTTTCCTTTCCCAGGCCTTGCCCCTCTCTCCCCCTGTCCCGGGGGGGAGCTGGGCTCAGCGGGGCACTGCCATGGAGCCTGCTCTGCTGGCCTGGCCCCCTGCCCAGCACTGCAGGGGAGAAGGGCAGGCTCAGCTCCTGGCCCCCTCTCACTTCTCTGAAGGGCTTTCGAGCTGGAAACACCTTTTATTTTTTAATTCCTCCTAGGGAGGGGCTGGCTGAGCTGCTGCCTTCTGCCTGCTGGGGGACAGGGACTGGTGCAGCCTCGGGGAGGCCACCCCTGCCAGGCTGCTCCTTCAGGAGGTGCTGTGCAGCACCAGCACCCAGCCTGCACAGCCAGAGGCCCAGACTGGTGAGGAAGGGGGAGCAGGATGCTGGTTTCTGAGGAGAGGCTGGCCTGGGAATGAATCCAGGCTGAAGTGACCTGTGTGGCAAACAGCTCTGGTTCATTTTCTGGATCATTTGATCTTTTCCCTCTGTTCAGCGTGTTCTAGAGAGAAAGCTTTGGAAGCTGGTGACTCGTAGCAGGTATCAGAGGTAGGGGGATAGGTGTTAGGGGGAAGAGTACTAGTCTGGATTCAGTTACTCTCTCTTAACTGAGTTAGGGAGGAGCTCAGGGGAAGCTTCCTTCCTGGGACTTTTGTCCAGGAAGCTAATGCTGAGCTCTAGGGCTGTTATTTTCATTAATCAGTGGCCATCCAGAATTCCCCTACACTGTGCAGTCACAGGTTTAAGAATGTCTCTTAATGATAAAAGAGATTTCAGGTTACTGTTTCTGGACAGAGTATCTCTACAACTTCTGTGCCTTGCTACCTGCTCCCTCCACTCTTCTTCTGCAAGAAACAGTCCTGTGAGCACCCCACGTGTAAAAATCCAAAAAGCAGCTCCCTTTCTCCAAACAAGGTTGGTTTGTTTGGAGTGCCCTTGAGGCTCTGAGATAACACAGACCTGCAGGTTGGCACTGAGGGTCTTTCCTCATCAGGAGGCACCCAGAAGCAGCCTGCTGTGCCCACCTTCAGCAGGCCTCTTGGCTGGCCTTTGGTAGAAACAACAGGCTTTTGTAAGCACTACAGAGGCAGTTCTCTAGGTCCTGGTGGCAGGTGGAGGTTTTTGTCAGTCACTAATGTTCCTTCTCCTGGCCCTTACAGAGATGTCATCTCCCTCCCTGAAGGCTGCTGCTTACGTCCTCATTGGTGTTGGGGCTCTCACCATGCTGATGGGCTTCCTGGGCTGCCTGGGGGCAGTCAATGAGATCCGGTGTCTCCTGGGCCTGGTGAGAGAGTTCTTGTTGTGTTTTAGTGGTTTAGATCCAGCCTTTAACACCCCTCCTGTAAAATACCTGGTGGGCTGTAGCTGGGCCTCACCTCTCCTGGCCATGAGACTTCTGCTGGGCCAGCTTAGATCCAGTTCTCAGTTTGCATACACTGAGTTCTCCAGCAGTCAGCAGAACTAAAAAACCCAACAACTGAGGTTTGTAAAATTGATGGTTTTGGCCATGGAAGGTTGGGGTAGGCAGAGTCCAACTGACTGAGGTCAGAGTGGAGCTGGAGTGGAGCTGGAGGGGGGAGAGGGAGTCCTGGCTGGGCTGACACATGCAGAGGGTGCTTGTAAACCCTCTGCCCTCCTGAAGGTGTTGGCTCAACACTGTCATTTCTGTAGGAAATCTTACTCAAACTTTATGGTGTTACATACAGACCTTTCTGAAAGCTGACAGTGGTCATCTCTTCTCTTTTGCTCCCAGTACTTCACCTGCCTGATGCTAATCCTCATAACCCAGGTTGCTGCTGGACTGGTCATCTACTTCCAGAAAGAAAGAGTAAGTGGTTGTTATGGTGCATGTTCTCCTTGGTCTTGCTGTGGGGGAAGAGGAGGCACCTGGAAATTCTTCCTTCTGCACTGGGCTGTACCATTGGGAGGCATCACTGGGTTCTGTCCTCTGCCCCAGTTCAGCAGCCTTGCTGTTCACTTTGCTGCTTCTGTGCCTGCCAGCTTCAGCAGTGCCACTGCCTGAAGGGTGATGAAGCCCTGTTTGGGTATGCAGGCTTTATTTCTGGGTGGGGGGGAGGAGTAAAAAGAAGTTCCTGGAAGGCTTTTGACCCCAGCTCCTCCTGGCTCTGCTGCTGGTGCCTCACAGCAGCCCGTGCTGGGTGCAGGTTCCCTGGGCAGGGCAGTGCCTGCTCGGGCCCCCAGCCCCTTGACAGCCCAGCTGGGAGCCACGTGCAGGCAGCAGGAGGGATGGGACTGTGGGGACCCTGCTGGCTCCTGTCCTGCTGCCCCTCGTGGGCAGCCCTGTCCTTTGCCATGTAACTCTGTGTCTGTCGTTGAAGCTGGTGAAGGGTCTAGGGCACAAGTCTTGTGAGAGCCCTGGGGGAGCTTAGCCCAGGGGAGACCTTCTGGCTCTCGACAGCTCCTTGCAAGGAGTCTGAAGCCAGGTGGGGGTCAGTCCTTTCTCCCAGGAAACAAACAAGAGGAAATGGCCTCAAGTTGCACCAGGGGAGGTTTAGGTTGGACATAAAGAAAAATTTCTTTCCTACCAGGGTTGCCCAGGGCTGTGCCAGGCTGCCCAGGGCAGTGGTGGAGTCCCCACCCCTGGAGGGGTTCCCAAGCTGTGGAGATGTGGTGTGAGGGACACGGGGCAGTGGGGACCTGGCAGTGCTGGGGGATGGTGGGACTCAAAGATCTTCAGTGGCTCTTCCAGCCAGCCAGGTTCTCTGCTGGTGCCTCTGGCACTGCAGGGCTGTGCCTGGTGCTCCTGAGCCAGCCCTCCTGCTCGGTGGTCACAGAAAGCTTGGGGGGGTTGGGGGGGCTCGTGGTGAATCTGGGGGTGGGGGAAGGTGCCTGGCCTGGCACAGCTGATGTGAGCTGGGCACAAGTGGCAGTGGTGCCAGCAGGCAGTGGCCAGGCTCCCTGCTGGGCCTGCTGTGGAAGCAGCTTGCTCTCGGGGCTGGGGCTGGAGGAGAAACTGAAACGTTGGTCACTGGGCTGTGAAGACAGAGCTTTGAACAAGCTGCTGATGCTCAACAAGCTCTGACTCATGCAGAGGAGGTGTGGGGATGGGAATTCCCCTGTGGTGGGGAAATGTGACTTTTCAGGCCATGAAATTCCCTCCTTCCGTTGGTGTTTCTCCACCAGCTGCCACTCAGTGTAGGAAACTCTCATTCCTGAGCTGTAGCTCCTCCTGTCAGCCTCAGGCAGAGCAGAGGGAGCACAGGAGTTACACTGCACAGCCCTTGGAGCTGGTGTGGCTGAGATGTGACTTGTATGGATCCACAGAGTGGTGGGGGAAGCTGGGCTTTGATCAGATGCTCCTGTTCCATCCTTGGTGAACAAAGCTTGTGGAAGAGCCCTGGTGTTTCAGAGATTCTCCAAAGGAGCTGCCTGGAGCACTGAGCAGAACAGTTTTGGGAAGGTCCTGGCTGGAGCCTGCCACACGCTGAGCCCGTGGCTCTGCCTCACTCCACGAGCCCTCCCAGGGCAGCTCTGAGCACAGCAAAGCTGCTGGAGACTGCTCAGGAGCCACTCCCTACCGAGTTCTTGGGCTCTGTTTCTTTCTGACCTGAGGAACTTGGTTGGATATAGGGCCAGGAGTAATGAGAGTGAAGGAGAGGAGCTTGGATCCAGGAGGTGGGGAGGGCTGAGCTGCTTATTCCTGCACTGTGGGACAGCAAATGGGGTTGTTGTCTCTGCTTCCCCTCCTTGAGTAGCAGCTACTGCACAGATTCACGTGATGGGTTTTTCTGTTGGATTCTCTCTTCCCTTTCAGTGTCCAAACCCTTCCCCAGCCCTGCCCCTGCCCCGTGTGCTGCCCCAGAGGAGCAGAGGTGGGACAGGGCACATCTGGCAGCAGGGCAGCTCTGCCTCTCCAGGGGCATTGCTGGAGGAATCCCCTTAGGGCTGGAATTGCCCAGCACGGCTGGGAGGGTGCTGATGCAACACCCTGCATCTGCTGGCCCCTGAAACCCTGGGCTGGGGGTTTTCTGAGGCATGACAAAGCAGGGATGTGACAAATGACAGTGTGCCTGTGAGCTGGGCGCTGCTGCCCGCCCACAGCTGGTGGGTGAGCAGCCCCTGAGGGCAGGAGAGCCTGGGCAAGGTCTCCCTGGGCACAGCCCTGGCAGCTCTCTGCAGCTTGGCTCTGAGTGCCCTGCCTGGAGGAGAGCAGTGGTCCTTTGGGGCTTGCCCTACTTGCTGGCTGTGGTTTGCAGCAGAGGAGCCTGTGTGATGGCATCAGGGACTGCCTGGGGCTGTGGACCGTGCCTTAGTTCCAGAATCTGAAGTGACTGTGGGGGTGAGAGGCACCTCCTGGGGATTTCTGAGCCTATTTTCATGTGCAGACAAGATGCTTGTTCAGTCTGGAGAAGAGGCTCCAGGGAGACCTTGCAGCCTTCCAGGACTTGAAGGGGCCTGGCAGAAAGCTGGGGACAGACTTTTGAGCAGGGGCTGTTGAGACAGGACACAGGGGGGATGGTTTGAAACTAAAAGAAGGAGATTTAGACTAGGGAGAAGGAAGACACTTTTTACAGTGAGGGTGGTGAGCCCCTGGCCCAGAGCCACAGACCACAGCAGGGCTGTCAGCCCCCCTTCACCTGAGCCTACTGAAGAGGGGCCTGGGGAAAGCTGACCACCAGACACAAGAGCATAGGTCTGGGATGCCAGTCTTGATCACAGAAGGACTCCTGCAGGCTTCTGTCAGCCTTCTGTCCTGTCCCTCTGTCTGAGGCTCAAGCCAGATCCTTCAAAGAATGAGTCACAGAATCACAGAATGGTTTGGGGACCTTTCAAAGTCACCCAGTCCAGCCCCCTGCAGGGACAGGGACATCTGCAGCTAGAGCAGGGTGCTCAGAGCCCCGGC